CTGTTCTTAAATTAGCTGGATTATTGCCCATTTGGGAAATCTATTTTCCTTTTATATATATATATATATATTCATAACAAGAAAAAAAAGTTTTATAAAAATAAAAACTTGAGAAACAAATCACGGCCCATTGGATTTTTTTTTTTTTTAATTTCAAGTTTGATGGTATTCGTAAATTTTAAATTTAAATTTATTTTTGGTATGAACTCAAAATGAGTTTCTTTTCTCAAAATTTATCTCTTCAAGTTGTGATGTAATAATATAGTGATAATTTTTCTGTGGGACGTCAGTCATTTATTTAGAAGTATTTGTAGCTTATAACTATATGTAGTTATTAGTTATATATTATGGGTAATTTGTTCACGGAATATTTATTATTTTTTATAATAATTATAATTTTATATTATATATTGTTCTATATATATAATTATAATAATGTGATTTTATAATCATTATTATATTATTTTTTTCTTTTTCCAACCGTTTTTTTAAATATTTTTTTTTTAATGACTATATACATCTCTTATGTTTATGTATTTAGATATTCAAACAATGTGCATCTATGACATGGTATTGTATGTTATTATATGCATGTTTTATGTATATTTTTAAATGATTAAATATTTAGACATTTATGCACTGTACAATAAGATGTTCAATCCTTCTTAAATGAATGTTTGGTCACAAAATAATGTAAACCTCTTTACTTCATAGGTTTCTTCCCAAGAATTATAAGGTCATTATCGTCGAACTCCAAAAAATTTAAAGTCCCTGAGGATTAAACTATAAAGATCAAGATATTGCCTTTAGATAATCCTTAAGGCTTTTGATTTTCCTTAGAATCAACCCCTAAGAGTTAAAAGATCACGTTGGAGTTGGTCTTATAAACATTGGAGGTCTATTAGGATCAGTCCTCGAACATTCTAAAGGCATTTTTTATTATGTTACTAGGACATCTTAGGTCCTCCATGGTTAATCCTCAATTTTCATGACATCATTTTTGTATAAATACTTAAGGTGTTTTAGTCTCCTAATAATTATAAAGTGACCTTTAATCTTTAAGGCATTTGAGATCCCTCATGATTACTCTTGAAAAATTTATGATATTACCTTGAGTTAATGTTTAAAGTATTTTAGGTTCTTTTAAGTTAGTTCCTAAGAGTTGTAAGGTCACCCAAGGTTGGCCCAAATATGTTTATAGTCCCCTAGGTTAATGTTCATTAGTTATCATGTCATTTGGGGTAGATAATACATATGTACAACTCCATATTAGTCCCCAAGATGTGTTAAGTTTGCGGGAATTTTTAAGAGTCAAGAGTTTAATCTAAGTT